TGTTATCAGAAGAGACCAGTTCCTGGATAAGGACATCATGCTAGGCAAAGTGGAAAGTCAGTGAAAAAGAGGAAGACCACCACTCATCTGGCAGTTTGTCATACTGCAGTGGCTTGTGAGTTGCTGTGATTCTGAAAGCTATGCCATGGGTATTTTAAATACCAGCAAGGTCACCCATGGTGGACAGGTTTCAGATGAGCTTCCAGACAAAGAGAATAGGAAGAAGGAGTGACAAATTACTTCCAAATATTTCATCACTGAAACCCTTATGAATAGCAGAGAAACATTGTCAGATATAATGCTGGAAAATGAGCCCCTCAGGTTGGAAAGCACTCAAAATGTAACTGGGGAAGAGCTGCCTCCTCAAAGTAGAGTTAACCAAAATATGACCTTGAATATATCTCACCTGAATTTAGAGATCATCTGAAGAACAGATTTGATACATTAGACACTAAAGACTGCAGACCAGAAGAGTTGTGGGATGACATCAAGAACATCATACAGGAAGAATGCAAAATGTCATTGACATGAATGGAGTAAAGCCTGTGGAAGAAAAGCCTGCAGGACCTTCATTTGCTGATGGGGCACAACTCAAAATGAAGAGAAACAGCTGTAAACATCCATTAATAATCGGAACATGGAATGTATGAAGTATGAATCCAAGAAAATTAGAAATTGTCAGAAATGAAGTGGAACGCATAAACATCGATATCTTAGGCATTAGTGAGCTGAAATGGACTGGTATTGTCCATTTTGAATCTGCCAATCACATGGTTTATTATGCCGAGAATGACAAATTGAAAAGAAATGGAATCACATATATCATCAAAAAGAACATATCAAGATATGCTATGAGGTACAGTGATGACAGTAATAGGATAATATCCATCTATCTACAGGGAAGACCAGTTAATACCACTATTATTCAACTTTACACACCAACCACAAAAGCCAGTGAGGATGAAATAGAAGAATTCTATCAACTTCTTCAATCTGAAATTGATCAAACAGGCAATCAAGATGTATTGATCATTAATGGTGATTGGAATGGCAAAGGATGGAAACAAAGAGAGAGGATCAGTAGTTGGAAAATATGGCCTTGGTGATAGAAATGATGCTAGAGATCACATGATAGAATTCTGCCTCAAAACAAATGATTTGTTCATTTCAAACACTTTTTTAGACAGCATAAGAGACGGCTATACACATGGACCTCACCAGGTGGAATGCACAGAAACCAAACTGAAATCTGTGGAAAGAGATGGTGGAAAAGCTCCATATCACCAGCCAAAACAAGGTCGGGGGTAGATTATGGAACAGACCATTAATTGCTCATATGCAAATTCAGACTGAAGCTGAAGAAAATGAAAACAAGTCCATTAGAGCCAAAATATGACCTTGAGTAGATCTCACCTGAATTTAGAGATCATCTGAAGAACAGATTTGATATATTAAACACTAAAGACTGAAGACCAGAAGAGTTGTGGAATGACATCAAGAACATCATACAGAAAGAATGCAAAATGTCATTGACAAGACAGTGTGGGGTGACTGGTGGACTTGAACTGCTGAGATTATAGTTCTAGGTCCAGTGCTTATCCTATGAAGCTACCACTGAATGTAAATGGATTAAATGTACCAGTAAAGAGACAAAGAGTAGCAGAATGGATAAGGAAAAAAGGATCCTTCTGTATGCTGGTTGGAGTCTTGGTGTGGCGCAGAGGGTTAATGTGCTGAACTTCAAAATTGGTTTGAACTGTAAGGTTGGTGGTTCAAGTTCACCAGTCACTCCTTGGAAACCCTATACAGGGTGACTATGGGTCAGAACCAACTCAATGGCACTTAATAACAACAACATATGCTGTCTACAAGAGGAATATCAAATAGATGAGACAGCCTAAATGTCCATCAACAGAGGAATGGTTAAACAAAATTGAGTGCATACACACAAGGGAATACTATGCAACTTTGAAGAAAAACAATGAATCTGCAAAGTACCTCACAACATGAATGAACCTGAAGGTCATGCTGAGTGAAATTAGTCAATCACAAAGGATAAATATTGTATGAGACCAATTGTAAAAATATTTTTTAAAAAAGGTTTTCTTGAGACACAGGGAAGAATGCATGAGTTAAAATGAATAGAGGTAAATACTGTTACTGTTAACTGATGGTACATGGTGGGGATTACAATCATTATAATGAAGCAAGGCATATGATTTACTGAATGTAAAACTGATGACCTGCTTTATAAACCTTCACTCATTTCACAATAAAATATTTTTTTTAAAGATACCCAAAATGAGAAAAAGTTTTTGATATAAAAGAGCACCAAACCCACTGCCATCCAGTTGATTCTGACTCATAGTGACCCTATCAGTGTTTCCCAGACTATAAATCTTCAAGAGAGCACACAACCTCATCTTTCTCCTAAGGAGTGGCTGGTGGGTTTGAACTGCTATTTTTGCTCTTAGTAGTCCATGCTAACTTTACCGCACCACCATGTTGTTGTTATTAGATGCCATGGAATCAGTACCTATGTACAACAGAACAAAAAACTGTCAGGTCCTGCTCCATCCTCACAATTGTTAGTTTGCGCCCATGGTTGCTGCCACTGTGTCCATTAGTCTCTTTGTGATTCTTCCTCTTTTGTGCTGACACTCCATTATACATTCATGAAGTATGATGTCCTCTCCAGGAACTTATCCCTCCTGTTAACATGCCTGAAGTATGGTAGACAAAGTCACACCAGCCTGGCTTCAAAGGAGCATTCTGACTGCACTTCTTCCAAGACAGATTTGTTTGTTCTTCTGGCAATCCATGGTACTTTCATTATTCTTCTTCAATGTCATAATTCAAATGCATCAATTATTCTATGACCTTATTCATTGTCCAACTTTCACATGCCTATAAGGCTATTGAAAATGCTATGACTTAAGTCAGATGTACCTTAGTCCTCAGACTGAATACTTGGCTCTTGAACACTTTAAAGAAGTCTTACGCAGAAGATTTGCCAAATGCTATACATTGTTTCGTTTCTTGACTGCGGCATCCATGAGTGTTAATTGTGAATCCAAGCAAAATGAAGTCTTTGACAACCTCAATATTTTTTCTCTGCTTATCATGATATTTTTTATTGGTCCAGCTGTGAGGAGTTTTATCTTTACATTGAGGTGCAATCCATACTATATGAAAGGACCCGGCACCGCTCATCAACCACACCTCACACCAGATGGCCCATCTAGAGACCTTTATTCAGGGTGAGGCAGGTAACCTCTGCCGGAGAGAGAAGGCAGGAGGCAGACAGGAGGAGAGGAGGAAGAAGAAGAAGAGAGCGTCAACAGGCAGGGAGGGGATTTATATAGATTCAATAGGAAGGGAGTGGTCATTGCTGAGGTGATTTAGCTCTGGCCTATCAAAAGCCACGTTATCCTTTAAACTACACGCCTTGTAGCTTAGGGCGGGGGAAACAGACAAAATGGAGTTGGAGGGAGGGGAGAGGGAAGAACCGCAAGGTATTGTAACACTATAGACTATAGTCTTTGATCTTCATAAGTATTTTAAGCTTTCTTCCAATCCAGCAAGCAAGGTTGTATCATTTGCATATTGAAAGTTATTAATGAGTGTTCCTCCCATCCTGATGTCATGTTCTTTTTCATATAATACAGCTTCTTGGATATTTTGCTAAGCATCCAGATTAAATAAGTATGGTGAATAGATACAACCCCAGCAACACCTTTCCTGATTCTAAACCTGTCAGTGTCCCCTTGTTCTGTTTGAATGATTGCCTCCTGGTCCATGTACAGATTCCTAATGAGCACACTTAAGTGCTCTGGAATACCCCTTTCTTCACAGTGTTATCCATAGTTTGTTATGGTCCACACAGTCAAATGCCTTTGTATAGTCAATAAAGCACAAATAAACATCTTTCTGGTATTCTCTGCTTTCAGCCTAAATCCATCTAACATCAACAATATCCCTTGTTCCATGTCCTCTGCTGAATCTGGGTTTAGTTTCTGGCATCTCCCTGTTGATTGATGTGCTGTTACAACTTTTTTTTTTTTACCAGTTTCAACAAAGGTTTTTATTTGATCCCTAAAAAGCAAAATTCAGAAAATAAGTCGCTCACTGAAAGAACAGTTCTATTGTAAACTATTTTAAATCTCCTCCTCTCCCACAGTGTGCTCTTTGATGTCTGGAACATCTCAGAGTGCACGATGCACAGAAATAATCTGTGAAAGGCACACAGCACTTGTCCTACTGCTCACACCTCCCTGGCAGTCCAGGGAGTCTTTTCCATAGCTTCCCCGCTTTCACAAAAATTTATCACAACTTTTTTCCTTATATCAAAGTATTTAAAGATCCCTCCTTCCTCCTTTCCCCATTTCACTCACCTACTTGGAGAAATGCAGAGTTGAAAAAATTTCTCCCCAGCTATGGCCAAAACACTGAATTCTGATGAATATCCAGGCTACTCCAAGTTCTCGAGTTATACACTAAGATACTTACAGAGGAAATTGAACCTCAAGTTCTGTTGCTCCCCAAAATGGGTAACAGAAGAGAAGATTTCATTAAGATAGTTACAGACTTGAGAGTCAACCTATCATGAAGTTAAACCAGGTTTTGATCATAAACCTTACAGAGACCAAATCAGATCTGAGGCCCAAATCCATATGCCAAAGAGAGAGCCAGCACAATGTTGAGATACATGAGTGGAAAGTAATGCTGGTGAAGGCACAGAGTCAAGAATCCCGAGCAATGTTTAGTGCCATTTTCATTTAATAAGCCAGTACTACAACAACCTAAAGGAACTCTGGTAGCGTAGTGGTTATGAATCGGGCTGTGAACCGCAAGGTCAGCAGTTTAACTACCAGCTGCTCCGCGGGAGAAAGATGAGGCTTTCTACTCCCGTAAAGATTTACACCCTCGGAAACCCTGTACAGGGTTGCTATGGGTCAGAACTGACTCGACAGCACTTAACAACAACAACACAACAACCTAAAGACCTTGGCTGTGATCACACCAGGATGTTTGTATGGGATTGATGCATGATTGGTGGCTGGCATTTCCTGGCTCACTATACTAAGCGAGCAGCTCTAGCACCAACTTCCCGGAAAGACTTAAGGCTGCGGAGTGTAGCGGAGGTATTTCTTGCCAGATGGGAGCTCTTTGGTGAAGACTCCTTTAGGGAAAATTCTTTTGGCTTTCTCTTCAGGGATGGTTGGAAGGACCATCACACTGTCTCCATCCTTCCAGTCAACTGGGGTGGCAACCCTCTTTTCTGCTGTCAGTTGGAGAGAGATGACTACTCTGAGAATTTCATCAAAGTTCCTTCCAGTGGTAGCTGGATAGAGGATAGACAGCTTCAGTTTCTTGTCAGGACCAAAAACAAACACCACTCGAGCCGTCACAGGCATGCCCTTTTCGTCTTTCTCTGCTGGATCCAGCATGCCCAAGAGGATAGCAAGGTCCCGATTCTTAGCATCAATGGTGGGAAAAGGCAATTTTTCTGTGGGTGCCTCACCATTGTATGCATTAATATCCTTGCTCCAGGCAAGATGGTCTTCAACACTGTCTATTGAAAGGGCAATCAACTTAACACTCCTCTTGGCAAATTCTGGTGCCAGCTTTGCAGCTCTGCCAAGCTCCGTGGTGCATACTGGGGTAAAGTCCCGAGGGTGGGAGAAGAGAATGCCCCATGAGTCTCCCAGAGAGTCGTGGAAATGGATGCGGCCGATCGTGCTATTGGCCTTGAAGTTGGGGGCCTCATCCCCAAGAAGCAGACCTCCGGGCATGGTGGCAGCGGTGACGTGGATGGTGAGGTAGCGCAGCTGCAGCAACCTCTAGCCGGCTGGTTGTGGCGACGAAAAAGTCTGTTACAACCTTTTTTGAATTATCTTCAGCAAAATTTTACTTACATATGATGATGATATTGTTAGATGATTTCCCCATTCTGTTAGGAATGGGCACAAATATGGATCACTTAAAATTGATTGTCCAGGTCTTTCAGATCGCTTGGCATTGACAAGTGAGCACCTCCAGTGCTGCATCCATTTGTTGAAACTTTTCAGTCTATATTTCTTCAATTCCTGGAGCCTTATTTTTTGTGAATGCTTTCCATGCAGTTTGTACTTCCTGCATCAGTACCATCAATTCTTAATCATAGGATAGATATTTCTTACAATGGTTGAACACAAGTCATTTCTTTTTGATATAGTAATTCTGTGTGTTCCTTCCATCTTCTTTTAATGCTTTCTACATCATGCATTATTTTATCTTTGGAATCCCTCAGTGTTTCAGGTTGAGGCTTGAATTATTTTCTTTAGTTCTTTCATCATGAGAAATGATGATTGTGTTTTTCCCCTTCAGTTTTTGCACATTTCATTATACTTGAATTATCTTCTCAAGCCACCCTTAAAATTTTTCTGCTCAGCTGTTTTACTTCTTCATTTTTCCCAGTCACTTAAGCTTCTCTGCACTCAAGAGCAACTTTCAGAATCTCTTCTGACATCCATTTTTGTCTTCTCTATCTTTTAAAATGACCTTTTGGTTTCTTCGTGTTTGAGGTTCATGATGTCATCCACAACTCTTCTGGCCTTTGGTCATGAGTGTTTAATGCATCAAATCTGTTCTTGAGGTGGTCTCTAAATTCAAGAGGGACATACTTAAGGTCAGATTTCAGCCCTTGTGGACTTGTTTTAATTTTCTTAACTTGCATAAGAGTAATTTTTGGTCTGTTCGACAGTGGGTCCTTGACCTTGTTTTGGCTGATGATATTGAGCTTCTCCATCATTTCATCCCACAGATGTAGTCAATTTGATTCCTGTGTATTCCATTTAGTGAGATTCATGTGTATAGTCACTTTTTATATTGTTGAGAAAGGTAATTGCAATGAATTAGTTACTGGTCTTGCAAAATTCTATCATGTGATCTCTAGTATAATTTTTATCACCAACATCATATTTTCCAACTGCTGATCCTTCCTTTTTGTTTCCAATCCAATTTTTGCTTTGTGCTCTAATCACCAGTAATTATCAATGCACCTTGATTGCATGTTTAATCAATTTCAGATTGAAAATGTTGGTATAACATTATTCAATTTCATCATCAGTGGCTTTAGTGGTTAGTGGGTACATTTAAATAATAGTAGTATTAACTGATATTCCTTGTAGGTGTATGGATATTATCCTATCAAAGACAACATTGTGCTTCAAGATAGATATTGAAGTGTCATTTTTGCACTAGATTGCCAATCAAAAGGTCAGCAGTTCAAACCCACCAATCGATTCCCAGAATCCCCACACAAGATTGCCAAGAGTCGGAACCAACACAACAACAACTGGACTGCTGTAATCTTGCTGTGTTTTTTGTTTTGTTTTGTTTTGTTTTGTGGTGCTACTTGTGTGATCCGTGTTGGAAGAAGTGCAGCCAGAGTGCTCCTTGGACACCAAGATGGACAAACTTCGTCTTTCATACTTTGGGCATATTGTCAGGAGGGACCAGTCACTGGAGAAGGATCTCATGTTTGGTAAGGTGGAGAGTCAGAGAAAAAGAGGAAGACCTCCAATGAGATGGATTGGCCAAGTGGCAGCATTGATGGACTCAAGCGTGGCAACAGTAGTGATGTTGGTCCAGGATTGGGCAGTGTTTCATTCTGCTGTGCAGAAGATCGCTATGAGTCAGTACCGACTCGATGGCACCTAACAACAACAAGAAAACTTGTTTCTATGTTCCACATAATTTTCTGCACTGCGTTCATTTTGTTTGTGTTTTCTTTTCACTTTCATTTCTGTTAATGCTTACTAAATCTTTCTGATTTTCCTCTTTTTAATTTTAATGTGAAGGCGTATTAATTTTCTTTGAGGTTACCCTGCAATTTGTTATTTTACCCCATTTTAAATAATCTGCTTTATCATAAAAAATGATTCGATTTCCTCACTGTTTGGAAGTTCTGTAGCCACACTATTCCCTCTTTTTGCACTGTAGCTGCGTCATTATAAATTGATATCTTTGGTTCCCTAATTTCATCTTGTAGGTTTGTTTTACTTCAAATATTTCTATATGTGGATTGAGTTCTGGGTGGTGATGCCATGTATGTTAATCTCAGGTCGTTGTCTACTCTTGTTGGCTCTCAGTACAAAGAATACATATATATATATAAATTTTTTTTGAAAGTTGGTCTGGTTATTACAAATACCTTTAATTTCTATTTATCTGTAAATGTCCTTATTTTGCCATCATACTTGATTGACAGCTTTTCTGAATATATGATTTTTGGTTGGTAATTTTCTTCTTTCAGAGTTTTGCCTCTGTCGTCCCATTGCCTTCTTGTCTGCATGGTTTCTGCTGAGAAATCAGAGCTTAGTCTTACTGGCTTTCCTTTGTAGGTGACTTTTCATTTTTCCTGAGCTGCTCTCAGGATTCTCTCTGTGTCTTTGATTTTGGAATGTTTGATAATGCTATGTGATTTTCTTTTGGGATCGATCCTGTTTGGGGTTTGTTCAACTTCTTGTATGCTTCTTTTCTTTCATGATGCTAAGGAAATTTTCTACCGACAACTCAACATTTTTCTCTGTGCTATTTATTGTCTCTTCCTTTCCTGGAATTCTGATCACCCATAAGTTATTCCTCTTAATGGTGTCCTACATACTTTCAGGTTTTCTTTGGATTTTTAAATGATTTTTTGTGATTGTTCTTCTAGCATACTAGTATCGAGAGATTTATCTTCATGCTCACCTATTCAGGCTTCTATTGCTTTGAATCTACTCCTTTGCCCTTTCAATGTATTGTTCATTTCTGAAATCTTAGTGTTAATCTTCCAGATTTCTAATTGCAGGTTTGTATTGTTTCAAAAATTGTATTTATATTGTCTGTTTGTTTGTGTAGTGTTCTCCTAAATTCATCTAAAGTTTTATCTGTGTTCTTGTTTGACTCAGTATGTTAGTTCTTGTTGTTGTTGTTGTTGTTAAGTGCCATCGAGTCGGGTCCGACCCATAGCGACCCTGTACAGGGTTTCCGAGGGTGTAAATCTTTACGGGAGTAGAAAGCCTCATCTTTCTCCCGCGGAGCGGCTGGTAGTTTCGAACCGCTGACCCTAAGGTTCGCAGCCCGATTCGTAACCACTACGCTACCAGAGCTCCTTATGTTAGTTCTTAGAAGGTACCTAAATGTCATTCTTTTGAATAATTTTTCAGTTATTTCCATTACCTTTTCTTCCTCAGAAACATTTTCTGCATCTGGATCATTTGAGCAATTCTCTCATTTTGTTGGTTTTGTTTGGTTTGTGTGTGTGTGTGTGTGTGTGTGTGTGTGTGTAAGCTAAAATTATCTATTGTCTCTGGAACATTGTGGTGTTTTATTTGCATTTAATTGATGATTGATTGGTGATGTGTTCTTAGTCTCTCAAAAACTGTCTTCTTTGAGTGTAGTTAGATAATGGAAGTTTGTGCAACATATTCTGTTTACCATTTGTGCACTTCAGTTTAGGGGGGGTCTGGCTGTGTTGGCTAATGTCTATCATTGATCAGGTGGTATAGGAGCTAGTATTGGCTCTTGCCCAGCGGATGGAGCTGCAGAGTGTACAGTTGTGGCAGGACTGTATGGGCACAGTTGGCGTCTTCTGTCTCTTGGGAAATAAAATAAACACACACACACACACCTACCTACTCAAGAAAACTAAAGAGAATAAGCAAGCAGCAAACAACAGTAAAAAGAGAAAATAATAAAAGAGAAAATAAAAACATGCAGCAAACAGAAAAAAAGATACAATAGCTAAAAAGAGAAAAGAGGGTGAGGAAAATGGAGCTGTAGGGGAGAAAATGAAAGAAAATAAGGAAGAGAAAAAATACTTAAAAAACAAGGAGAAGGAAGAGGAAAAAAGTAGAGAGTACAAAGTAAGTTCAAAAGGGAAAAAAAACTAGGGGAAATGAGAAATAGAAGAAAAGAAGGAAAAACAAAAGCAAAGATAGGATAAAATTCAAGGGACTAGAACAAGAAGAAAGAATAAACAAAACCAATCAAACAATGAAAACAAAAATCCCAAAACAAAAATTCCAGTGTAGTTGTTGGAGTAGGGGAGGAGAAAATTCAGGGAGTGGGGAGGGCTCCTACCAGACAAGGAGCTCATGAAATGGGTAGGGGAGGGATGTGTCAGTGGAGTTCCTGGCTGTAATGGCATTTCTATCAGCCTGGTGGTGGTAGTGGTGGTGTGCTGCAGAGTTGGTTCCTACTCATAGTGACCCTACATAGGGTTTTCAAGGCAGTAGAAAGCCTCATTGTTCTACAGAACAGCTGGTAGTTTCAAACTGCTGACCTTTAGATTAACAGCCTGGCTTGTAACCACTATGCTACCAGAGCTCCTTCCTAGGTGTTATCTATGTTCAGAGTACTCTGCCTGGAAGTAATTCATGAGGTCCTTAATGGAGCTGATTGGTTTGTGTCTATTAGGACCACAGGGCAGGGTGGCTGGTTATGAGAGTTTCTGCTAGACTAATTCTGGTCTGATGACTCTGCAGGTTCTGTGGATCTGCTGCCCAGCCATCCTGAATCAAGACACCAAAGCAGTATAGCCGACCCCCACTTCACACTGGCTTAGCTCACAACCACATGGCTCTGAACTCCCTGAGAACAGGGTTCTTGCTGGGAGTAGATAAAGGTTGGAGTTGGCCACACCTCTGGTTCATCCAGGGAAAAACAAGAAACCACACCTTTCCCATTACCTGTAGGAAATCTGCTCTACCAGGTCACCTTCTATCACCAAAGCTTCTCATGAAAGTTCAAGATGGTTGTGCCACATCTGAATGGCTAGTCACCAGTCAGCAGTCATCCCTGCTGTTTTTCCTTCCAGCAAGT